TGCAGGTTCTGAGCAAAGCGTCCGTCCTTCAGCTTCTACGACAGAACAGTTCGACAGTACATTGCCTGTCAACCAGCCAATAGAAACTTCTTCAACATTGGCATCGCGTGATATGGACGAGAAAACAGCTAGCCATGCGAATCCAATGACCATCGTAAACGTAAACATCACAAGGGACATGTATAAGATGTCGACGAAAACCGAACCGAGTTCCGAGAAAAACAGCAGTCCATCGACTATGATCGAAGAACCGTCGGAAAGTACTTTGTGGACTTCAAACGTTAGCACTGAAATCAAGACCATAGAAAATATATCAGAGAAATCTGAGGAAACAACTGCTTTCACACCCTTCGCTGTTTTTACACTTAGCAAAGATAAGATTAGCAATGAGGAAAGCACAACCATGAAGTCAGAAAGAATAGTCACAGAACAGCTGCAAACTCATACGGCAGTGATTTCCGGAAGCATTCAAACAGAAAAACTTCACCTTGACTCTGTGACTCGCGATGAAAAGCTGATCACGTTGGCGTGCAAAATGAAGCACGTTAAACCAATCTGGGCATTCATCTGTGATTTGAACAGAATCAGAGAAACATCGAAAGACGAAGCTGGAAGAGGCCAGTGAAATCCTCCATTCTCAGGTCTTTAACCATGTCTACAAGATAATCGCATGCGCTGTGCGAGGAGTAGCATTCGTCCTGTGTACCAGATGTATGAGGTAGATGCCAAAATTTTCGATCAGGAGCTGATGCTACGTCTGTCGTTTTCTACGGTATGTACCAAAGGAGAAACGAGAATGGTAGCTCGTTTCAGTGGCAAACGGCGTGACTACAAAAAAGTTTATTTAAATCCGCAGTTTTTACTTTCTCTGTTTTTTTTTCAACCGCAATAAACTCACATATCACGAACGCATTGCACAGCACATAATTTGTTAACTTTTTATATATTTGATTTTGTGATGACCACTCGTCAATCATAAGATGATCAACGCACACTGGAACCATTCTTCAAATGAAGGCTTCTTCACGAATCGTTATATCAATGGGGATAGAAAAAAGGTTGGAAAAAAAAATGTCAATGTGTCAATCTGCCATTGTCGAAATGTCAATATGCTTTATATTTTCATCATGGGATCATTTCCGGGGCCCTTCTTTTCATGTACTTAATGGTGAGGTGCTGGTATTCATTTAAGCACCATCATCCAGGAGTGCCTTGTTTTAAAAGCAGAGTCAACAGCAGCTATGTGGCAAGCAAAGGGCCTAATTTTCTGCTTCCTTCCCACTCATTTATCGACATCAGAGAGAAAAAAGGTCCGTGACCCGACAGAGGTCCGAACCCGGCCAGAGGCAAATTTCAATTTTCGAATGAAACCTCCAGATTTTAGACTCAATCAATGGTATCAGAAATAACTATGCATAGGTCAGTCATGCAACTGTAAAAGATCGGAAACCTGCGTTCAGAAATAATATGTTTTATGGTCGATCTTCATAACTCCTGCGAAGACATCAACTTTCATCGGGGGAACAAATGGCAAATTCCCGTCCAGTCTAAATTGGCTTTACAAC